ACGTATTTACGATCTTTCCCGACCGTTGCTGCTACCTTGACGTGGTGGTCGGGCTTGCCTATCGTGATGATCCAATCGAGCTATGCTGGCTGGAACAATCGTTCCTCAAGGTCCTACCATGCCAGACAGGTCGGTTGAAGAGCGGTGAGACTAAAAGCAGCAATCCCAAGGTCCGAAGGCGAAGTCGTACTGCCGACTGTACAGAGGTGTGAAAGCAGTAAGGTGTTTCCTTCAGGCAACCAGCATGACAGCGATGCTGCCTTCCCACAAGGAGGGGTGGGGTTAGAAAAGGTCGACCCTAAAAATGCACACTTCGCCTTATCCCACGGATTTCCGTCTCCGGCCGTAAGGACTTTTGAAGAACGGAGCTAACACGTCAAAAACCCACCACAAAAAGGTCATGCGTGACCGTCCTCAAGCAGTTGTCCCTTGGGCACTGCGGTCACGCTCCCAGGTCGTTAAGACCAATACTAATCCAACTTCTTTTTCAGGTCCCTCAAGAAATATCCTTCCACGGTGTGGGCAGCCGGGAAGTGATACTAGCCCTCATACCCTTAACTGCACACGAGACCAAGTTGGTCGCTTTCAAATCCTTCCTACACCTAATAACTCTGTTATCTCCACGACTAACCCTTCCCACGTCCTTTTATCACCTCGCACCGCTAAGGCAAACGATTCGAGTACATGGAACTTTATTCCTGGTCTCCTGAAACCACGCTCTAAACTACATGTAGGAACTTTTAATGTCCGAACATTGTGCCAAATAGGACAACAGGCTTCCTTAGCTAGGACTCTAGAATCTTACACCATCGATGTGTGCTGCGTCTCCGAAACGCGCATACAAGATCCGAGTAGTGTCATTCATTTGACCGCACCTAATCAAAATAAAGTTTCATCTCGATACACGCTTCGTGTATCTGGAAGCCCTGATGCTGCTTCCCGTGGCCTCGCTGGAGTAGGTATAGCATTAAGTCCTAGGGCAGAACTAGCTCTTTTAGACTGGATCCCAGTAGACAGTCGTCTATGCGCTGTCCGACTAAACGGATCAGTAAGGACCCGGAAAGATAGGGAGACTCGTCGTTGCCTCTTCGTCGTCTCTGCCTACTCTCCCACTGACTGCAGCCCAGACAATATAAAAGATGAGTTTTACAGGAAACTTTCTGACCTTCTCCGAAAAGCTAGGCGTTCTGAGGTAGTAATAGTGGCTGGTGACTTTAATGCTCAAGTAGGTAAACTAAGTGAAAGACACCTGGGAGGATCTTATGGTGTTATGGCGGAAAGAACAGATAATGGCGACCGTCTGTTGCAGCTATGCTCAGATAACCGCCTATTTCTTGCAAATACTAACTTTAAGCATAAGGAAAAACATCTTTTGACATGGCGACCCCCGAATTCGTCCCAACGTTGGACCCAATTAGATCACATCGCTATCAGCCACCGATGGAGGGGCTCGATAGAAGACTGTCGCTCATTCTGGGGCACATGTTTAGACTCAGATCATGCTCTAGTGCGAGCACGTATCTGTCTGCGTCTTACTGGTCGTAGGAAAGACACTGCAGGGAAGCCTCTAAGGGTTCTACTTAATGATAGGCAAGCTAAGAATATATTTCAGGAACAACTAGAAAAACAGTTAGGCAGCCATGTAAGTTGTGTCCACCCCGAGGCAGCGTGGAGTGACATCCGAAAAGCTGTGGAAACAGCAGTGATATCCGCTAGTAAGGTAAACCATAACGTTAGGGAGAAACAATGGATCTCGGCAGCATCTACCACACTGATAGATGCTCGTAAACTCATCCCACCTGGCTCTGAACATAACGAAGAGCGGAGTCAACTTAAGCGCAGGCTTATAAGAAGCCTACGTAATGATCGTGAACAGTGGTGGGTAGCAAAAGCAAGAGAGATGGAAAAGGCAGCGGCAATAGGTAACAGTAGGCAGCTATTCAGACTCGTTAAAGAAACCGGTATTAGGAACTCGAATATCAGTGAAACCATCTCAGATAAAGATGGGCATATTATTCATTCTCAATCCAGGAGATTGGATCGATGGGCAGAACACTTTAGGGATCAGTTCAACTGGCCTTCAGCCACACTTCAATTACCCACGATCCCCAGTCGTCCTGAATGGCAAACTGATGTAAGTCCTCCAACCCTCTGTGAGGTTGAAAAAGTTATAGGAAATCTGAAGAGAGGGAGAGCAGCAGGCCCTGACAGGTTGTCCCCTGAGATTTTTAAGGATGATGGTCCAGTACTAGCAATGAGATTGACTGAGGTCTTAGGTAGAATCTGGGAACTGGACGTAATTCCATCTGACTGGTCCCAATCACTGATTGTGCCAGTCTATAAGAAAGGACAAAAGTCATCCTGTCACAATCACAGAGGGATCAGTTTGACTAATATAGTGTCTAAAATATTAGCTTCAATAATACTAGGTCGCCTAACCAAAGGTCGTGAAGAGCAGACTAGAGAAAACCAGGCTGGTTTTCGACCTGGACGTGGTTGCATAGACCAGATAATCACCCTACGTCAGGTCCTAGAACATAGACACAAATTCAGACGTCCCACAATCGTAGTATTTCTTGACCTTAAGGTGGCATTTGACTCCGTTGATCGTGAGGTTCTATGGCAGTGTTTGTCACTGAAAGGAGTTCCAAAGAAGTACATTAACCTCATAAAGGCTCTCTACTCGAGCACAACTGGTCGAGTTAGAGCCTATGGCGAACTGTTATCAGAACTGATTACCACAAGTGGCGTTCGTCAGGGCTGTCCACTCTCCCCATTCTTGTTTAACTTTGTCGTTGACATACTTTTAGAAATAGCACTTTCATCAGCTAAACCTCCAGGAGTTGAACTTTTACCGGGAGATTCACTTGTTGACTTAGAATACGCCGACGACATAGTTTTACTCGGTGAAGACACTGACAACATGCAGTCTTCTGACCACTATAAGCAACTATGCAGGCATGTTCGGAATGCGATTCTCTCCCTCGAAGTGCAAAATGTTACTTCAGGATTGGGTTGCAGCGACTCCTGAACTAATGATAGGGAGTGAAGTAGTTGAGCGTGTAGACCACTTCACTTATCTTGGAAGTCTCATCAGCCCTTGTGGTCTGGTGTGTGACGAAATCTCAGCACGGATACAGAAGGCTCGTCTAGCTTTCGCCAACTTGCGTCATTTATGGCGTAGGCGCGATATCCGTCTAGCAACCAAAGGACGGGTTTACTGTGCAGCAGTTCGTTCCGTCCTACTTTATGGCAGTGAAACATGGCCGATGAGAGTAGAGGATATTCGTAAGCTACTAGTATTCGATCATAGGTGTTTTCGAAGCATTGCTCGTATATCCTGGGACCACCGGGTAAGTAATGCAGTTGTTAGGAAACGAGTACTAGGTAGGGATGGCAAATCGATTGATGAAGTAGTGAAACTTCATCAGTTGAGATGGCTGGGACATGTGTTACTTGTGCCCGACTTCCCCGACGTGCAATGTTTCATGGTGTAGGAGTAGGTTGGAAGAAAGCTAGGGAAGGTCAGACCAAAACGTGGCACAAATCAATGAGGTCACTGACAAGTGGACTGGGCCATGTTGGTAGGTGTAGACTACCTGGTTGGGATTCGCGAGATGACAGCAACCGATGGTTAGAGACCTTGAATGACATGGCTCAAAATCGTTTGTAATGGCGAAGGTGCATCCACTCTTTGTGTTCTACCAAATTCTAATCTTCTGAATTCCTCATGTCTTTATCTTTTTCTCTTTCCAAATTTATTTCACTGTACTATACTCCTTCAATAATTTCTTCAAACCCTAATCTTTTGGATTTCTGATTATACTCCTACTACTTCTACCACTATGGGATTTGAATCGACAACTGCATCTCTGTGCTAATGTGGTATGGCAACTCGAACTGATGTACGTAAGTACGAAGTTCTACGTTGTGACTGACTGACTGATTTACGATCTTTGGAGTTATGAGTTAAGTTGTGTAGAACGAACCAGTACAACCGTAAACGTTTTAACGGTATTAGCAAAATACCATAGACTGTGACACAACACGGATCACTTTTATCATAAGTGGATGAAAAGTAGAGGTCCCCTAAAGACTGCCTTAAACAAAAGCATAAACTGTTATTCAGAGAGCTGAGAAATGCGTCAAATTGTTCATCATATGAACTTAACTGAAAAAGAATGTACAAAAAACAAAACCTTAAGAGACGTTGATCATCAAGGCTCTCCTGCTGAGTTACTTCTTCAACTAGTTAATATATTTTAAATTATACAGATGGAAATAACATCACAAAAAACAATGCAGAACAGTGTAGAAACGTTGGAATTTTCGATGGAATTAAGACGAACTTTTTGTTATGTACTCATAACGTGAACTGGCTTAATGTTGCACATAAATTAGCATTTCTAAATGATGGAGATCTGTCGCTCAGGTGAATGTTTATGGTGTTATTAAGTTCTCTGGGCTAAATGACTTATTTGCGGAGCTTTCATTGTCACTATAGACAACATGGTCAGTGCTTGCTTCATACACAATTATGAAGATCAAGATTTTTGAGTGATGGATAAGAGAATACACAATAATCATTGAGTCTTCATTACGCTAGAACATTAAAAGTAAGGGTTATGATCTCATCTTAAGCCCCATTCAACAAATCCCAAACGTTTAAATGAAATGCAGAATTTGATTTCGATTTATTATTTATAGCTTAACTAATTTTATTATTTTGAAGAGTATTAATGTCAGTGATATGCATTGATAAGCTAAGTGGGCATCGGTAGCACGTTCCTTATGAAATAATTTCACATTTATTCTTATATAAGTGTAAGCACTATGGTCAACAGTTAGCTGATCACCTTAGCCTAAGGTAATTTTGACGTGAAGTAAGAGCTTCTAAAATGGCATTATACGTTTGTCGTAAACGAAGTTTAAAATGAATTACACACACCTTAGTCAACGCGCATCTATATTTCAAATGACTCGTATATAGTATATATATATCAAGATAAGTCTGTATTGGGAAACTCATGAAAAATAACAGGTCTCATATTAGTAACAATTGTTAATTGGACATTTAAACGATCATTCAATTTCGATTCCTCATCACTGTACTGATTGGATTCGGTCAGATCGAGTTTATTCAACAATAACTTCATAGACTTGGCAATAACAGGTAAATTAGGTAAAGAAAAGTGCAATTTATTCCAATATCTCTTTCGCATAGTCCATGCACGTAAAACCTGGGAACTGAAATAAAATATGAACAACAAAACGAGTTGTTAGAAGAAATTCACTTCAAAAAGTAGTTAGAGTAGTGGTTTTTAAATATTAACGTATAGCTTAACTTTCAAGCGTTGCAACAGATCTCATTAGCACTTTAAGTACCCTAATTTTAGTAATTCTTTTATATCACTACACCTCGCTGAAAATGCCACTTGGATACTGATTCGAGAATCTGAACATGATTATCGAATCACAGCTAAAACTATTTGCTAGGTATCACTGACACTTTATTACATCCAGGAAAATGAGATTTTTTGCTTTTTAGATGGGACTGAGAACTTTAAGAAAAATCCTTAAACTTTTCAACTAGGAAGATTTTTTTACGTAACGAAATCCAAGTCAGAAGATGGACATAATTTTATAAACGTTGCAAACGAGCATCACACAATTAATCTCAACGTTAACAAATATTGCCCGTAATAAAGTTTCACTTGTTTAAACCGTTGGATGCTAGTTTTATAAACAAAAATCTATTTTTAAATCGAACAGGTGTTTTTGTAGTGATTTTCGTTAACAACTTTTACCTAATAAATGCCAGCAGTTTAAAATGTTCTTTCCTTACCAAGCAGTACTTTTAGTTGCAATATGTTAGCTTATGGATAAAATTGCATACAACTGAATTTTATTAACATCCATGGATTATAATTTCATTGACTCACTTTGTTTTGCCGATGCATAATATACTTTTCCGTAAGAGGCGCCAAGGTTCGCAGTATACAGCCCACGATGGATGATCAAGCAATAAAAATGATAGATCCAATGCATCAGAAAATCTTCCTATGAGATTTATTATAAACAACATTGGTAGGTAGTATAACACCAAAAAGTAAGATAAAACATTGATATCCAATCTTCACATACAACTGATAAAATTAACAGGATATGAAAAAAGATAATATTTAGCAGTATTAACATTGATGGACTATAATATGCCAAAAACTCGGTTGTTATAAAAACATGACGTCCAAAGTATCCTCTTTCTAATTTATATCCGTAATGAAAATCCACAAAACAAACAGTTTGAGCATTTTCAATCTATAATAAAAACCTATCACTAAGATAAAACTACAGTAGTTAAGGTCTTATGAAGCTAAATACTGCAAAATCCAAGAACTACCACATAGGTCGGTATATTTTCCACCTCGTCTGATATTTGGAGAAGCAATAAGTGATCGAAATAGAACTCAGAAAAAAAGATTATGGAAAAACAAAGCTGGTCAAAAATGTTTGTAGAGGAAGATGAGTGGAAGCTTACGACTGTTGAAAAACGTTTTTATGCATATTTCGGAATATTTTGAGCGGAGAAAATATAAGACAGCAATTAGTCGATTATTTTTGGTCGCCTATTATGTACTGCATACAATTAGATATACAATATTAAATAAAGAGATTATTATCATCAAAAAATGTTACTTTGTCAAAACTTATCGAAAAGCTCTGGACGCAAACACACTAAAGGGAAATTCATAAATTGGACTTTGAGGCACATTCCCTGTATAAAAATATATTACTTGAATGACTAGACTATAGCTCAAAGTTATCCGATTTACATTCGATCGGTCACAAAGTAGAACCTAGTACGCATGTACATCAGTTCAAGTTGCCATACCCTATTAGCACAGAAGGATAAGGTTTTCACGCCAAATCTCAGAGTAGTAGAAGTTGTAATAGTATCAGTGATAATAGGAAGGAAGATCGAAGATACGACTCGGAAATAAAATACAAATTGGCGAAATAAAAAGAAGTTATGAGGAATTTAGAATATCAGGATTTGAGGGAAGATAAAGAACGGATACACATGCGCCAATGTAAACGATTTTGATTTATGTCATTAAAAGCCTCTAACTATTGGTTACGATAATCGCACGCACCCCAACCAGGTGGTCTACATCTAATATCATGGTTAAGTCCAATTTTTAGTGTCGACATGATCTGATACCACTTTTTGGCTTGTTCGATCAGCCTACTCCAAGAATCTATCAGTTCTGTAGACGGGGCTGAAATCCACTGATTTTTCCTAACCTTTTGGTTTAAGTTACTACGGTCAAACGACTTACGTTCAGGGTGATATAGAGGAACCAAAAAACCAATACGCTGTCAACTACACATATCATTTTGATGTATTCCGAGAACTATCTTAACATTTTATGGAATTCCACAGGATACTCAATTTTGAATACGAAATAAAAATTTATACTGATTATATAAACATTGTAAGTTGGTAGGAAAATATCTTGAATAATATCACAGAGAAAGAACAGATATTTCATCAACTTACTACGTTTTAAACAAGAAATTATAGTTGGTAAATGGCCATGATTTCTTCTTAATAGACTTTTCACTTCTTTCTTCGACATAGATTCATAATTATCAGGCAGGTTAGGAGCTGGTTCAGGTAATGTACGCCTGCTAAATGATATACGATATTCTAAACAGATTTTTGAGTTTTTCGAACTTTTGGGCGATTTCTTTTGATGGGCGGTATGTGACTGCGTAGTTTCATCAACAGTTGTGTTACCATCACTTAGATCTAAACTACATGCTGAGGAATCATGACAGTTTTTGGTTATTGGATGAGATGGAGACAAAACTGCCGATGGATGAGTAACTGGTACATGTTGACGTTTATACCATTCGCATAAATATCTTAATGTGTTTGGGTTTTCAGGTACTTTTTGAGCGTAACTAAGTAGTAAGGCATGTGCACGTGTACATTCATTAAAATACTGCAGTATCTACAAGTATAAAAGGAATTAAACAAGCAATAATAAGTTAGTTCATATTAAATATGAATTGAAGACAATGAGGAGATTAGATGAAAATATTGACTGGTAAATGGTTATTCAAAACCCTTCAAATATGAACTGAGATATATTCATCTAAATTTAAGACAACAAGAGGAAAATTACTTCAATAAATGCTCTAACAAAGGTGTCGCACAAATGACCCTCAGAAACGAGAGCTTCAACTTCTTGTAATCGATGGTAAGCTTTCTCAGCTAAATTATCGGCTGTCACATGAATGTCTTCAGGATCACCTAAAGAACAAAAGTAACAAAGCCTGATTGAATTATACAGTTATAATGGATTGCAAATGGTCAACTTCGTGATGAAGAAGACGGTTATATCTAAAAATCAGTGTAATGGAATATGTGTCAAGTATTTTTTATACAGATCCTTAATTTATCTGGGTTACAGTTATAGCACATTTAAAATTTTATAAAAATTATAGTCGGAAATATTATTCCGTCTTAAATCAGAGTTGTAAATCGTACTACACAGTATTTTCCCCCCAACACTTGAACAAGAAAGAAAACTAACAGTCATTCGTTAGCAAAAAGTTTAAAAGGTTGGGTAAGCCTGACGAAATTCGGCTTTCAAATATTTACTAGGAGAAAGGTATAAATAAGTTTTAGTTTTGATCTTATAGGTTCTTCTAAACGGATGATAAAGTGTTGCAAAACTTACTAGGTGATGCTAATGAATTAATTTGTTTAAGCCACATTCCATAAAAGCTGTAACCTTCATAGAGTCGTTGTAATCGCTGAACATGTGCAAATTCTGGCTCTCTAGTCAAGACTGTATGAAGACTTGCATATTTATTTCGCTGAATAGGCTGCAACAACAAAAAATGAGAATAACAAGTACTTTCAGCCACATAATGTTTATATTGAAAGATTCGTTTATGAAAGCAGTTTCGTTCGTGAGTGACTTGTTCTTTTATCGTATAATTTCCTCATTCTTTGGTTAATTGAAAACTGATTTTTTGTTAGTTGATACATCATTTAAATGTCCGACTACACTGAACTGGTTATCCAGGTAAACAGAGTGAACTGTTTAACAATATGCCTGTTTTTTTATAGGAATTCAGATGTCTTGTCAAAACAAGGAAAAACAAATGAATTAAGTTTCACACTTTGATGTTCTGTTGCTGATGAGATTTCAGAAACAGGTCATTGAGCTGTTTGATTGAAAACCATATGATCTTTATAAGATTACACATTAATAAAAAGTGCAGAGAAGTCAGAAGTGATTTCAGTAGTGGAATTCATTAACAACAAATCGTCCAGTCTGGTCTTTATGTCAACTGTGATTGACTGAGGTACGAACCAAGTCCAGAAAGGGTTTTGTAAACAGAAACAAATTTCCGCTAATTATCTTCAGAATTAGCTGACATATACATGATTTATTTTCATACGTAACCGAGTTACCGTTGTCGTATGTGATACTTATGCGGACACATACGTAATATGTATCAGCTATAAATCAGCCGGCGACCATACCACGTTGAAAGCACCGGTTCTCGTCCGATCACCGCAGTTAAGCAACGTTGGGTCCGGTCAGTACTTGCATAGGTGACCGGCTGGGAATACCGGGTGTCGCCGGCTTTTTCAAGCCCCCAAATGCCCTGGTACGGCCGAGAGTGGGGAGAATCCGCTCTCCCTCTCGAAATGCTCTCACATGGCCACGCGTATATAACCTCTGCCAGGGAAGTCCTACTCACTGCCTTCTCGTGGCACTACTGTTGTTTACGAAATTAAGAGGACGAAAAGCGAATGTCCGGTGCTTTAACCGGGTTGGTGGACAAGGCGAGTCCACCCAGGGGAGTTGGAAAACCCTGATTCTAAACCAATGGTGCACATGGGTTACAGTATCCTGAGGGAACAAATGGCGTACGAATCAACCGTTGATCACCGGCTACCATGGGACTACATCTCCTCACGATGCTCCACTGCCTTGTGGATCAGATATTCAGGTCAAAGGCTCTGGGTGTGGCCCCCTAAGAAAACCACCTGCTTCAGTCTGGGCACCTGGGCAGTATCACAGCCCTCACACAAATCGAATGAGATTTGTGAGGCGCAAATGTATCTGGTGCTTCCTTGTACCAATATTTATGTGTTTAAAAAATTTTAAAAAAATTTCGTATTTTACAAATGCAAAATTGGTGTACTCTAATTAAATGTTCGTTCATTAAACCATCAGTGGTCACCAAGCTTATTTTTGTGTATGAGGTTTTTACTATCCAATAGAGTGGTTGCTAAAATGCGAGGCTTAGAGTTACCATACAAGTTGTCTGGAATCAAATGACTAATCTCATTAAGATCGTCTCTATAAAACACAATCTTTATATATAAATCTAGTTTATATTTTTTAGATCCAGAAGCTTATTCTTCCATTTTAAACATCAGTTTTGAATGTCTAAATGTACGATTTGTAGAACTGAATCAAAAAAGAAGGAAGTCTGTAGTAAACCCGATATCTCAACACAAATACTACGTAAAGGTTGAGAAAATTGTTGTGGTGATAGAATAGCAAATGGAATTAGTAAATATGATGAAGAAAATAGAGTTCTATTCGGACTGAAGTGAGCGGGTATCTGGCAGTTCTGATATCCTTACACATTAAGTACACTTTATGAGCATCTTGTCAATGTATGAATAGAAAACATCCACAAAATGAGCAAAAAAGATTAAAATGATATATCAGAGACGACTGAATGAATTAGTGAGTAAATGGTAAAAGTATACGCAACAAAAAGTGCAACTGACGAATCGAGATTCTTGAAAATGAATTTAACTTATCGAAATTCGAGTAAACATAACAGACAGAAACAATGGTTTGCAGTTTTAAATGACCTCCTAAAAGTTTGTAAGAACTTTCACTGGAAACATATTAGACAGTAAGATTGTCAGTGGTAACAATCCCAATAGCAATAACAATATATCGATTCAAGTTCACAAATAGGATATTAAATAATGACTAACAAGAAAATTGGTGTGATTTCATAAATATCTTTTTCATCTCCCATGAATTCCCACTAATAATGATCAATGGTCATCATAGTAATCTTTATCAACAATTTGAGAGGATAATTACACTAGAGCAACTATAATCTGAGTTGTAGAATGAGATTGTAACTTGCAAAAAATAACCAGAAGGATAGGTATTTAACGTACCTGTTTATTTGTGCGACAAAACTGTATAGCATTCAAGTTTCCTTTGCTGATCTCATACAATATAAATTCTAATATACGGTTATTTTCATCACTCAAAAGAAACCCATCTAAAACCCTGAAAAAGCAAAATTACAAATCGTTACACGACGAATCTACAGGAAGTAAATTGATTTTTTGTTTACGCTCAATGCATACTGAATAGTGTAAAAGAAACTTGTAACACTGTGAGTAACGCCTAAACAAGTTTTTAAGACGAAAGTCACTCATAATAAGTTCAGAAAATCTTTAGAATCCAACCAGTTTTTGACTGGGTAGTAGTAAACACCGTCTTACGACGTAAAAATACTGAGATTTTACAGTAATTCTCATTAACCATATCCTCGGTCGGCAACAACCATACATATACTACATAAAAAATGTACATGAGTACCATTGTCCCATATAAATGTATTACGAACCTTGCTTTTCTGCTTACTTCCTTACGCCTGTTACCCTTCGTCGAGGAGCATAGGCCGCTCACCGGCATTCTCCAACCAACTCTGTCCTGAGCCTTCCTTTCCAGTTGTTATTCATCCTTCTCATATCTGCTTCTATTTCCCGGCGTACCATGTACCTATAAAAAGTGTTGCTCTGGTTGTTAGAAGGTGCATCGGCCTCGTGACTTCCGAAAATTTTTGGCTTTCATCATGAGGCGTCATAATTATTCAGTCAACTCCCAGGGCAGAGTTTAAATTATTTTTTCTGGTTAGCGTTTTCTTAGCGAGTTAGCTTTTCTACGGGATGGGGTCGCTAACCCCATGCCCAACCCTCTTCCTTTACCCGGGCTTGGGACCGGAAGTAACTCTAGAAGAGCTACAGGCGGAGCTTTTCTGCAGATAGTCCTATAACTCTTTACCTTACATAGTGTTCGAAATGCTTTGCATGCAATGCTTTTATATGAATTATCTTGAAACTATAGTTATATCACTTAAAAATACTCTCCCACTGTTATAACGAGATGAACATCGAAAAAGTTGAGATCTGTGAAACAATCCTACGAAAAACTACATCTTAATTGTATATTATCTGGATTATTGAATCCTTGTGTTTTCTTAATTATAACCATTTGTTTGGCACATAAACTATTGTTATCTACTTTACCTTTCTCAAGTTATTGTCAATTAATCATGAACCTTCCACTTAGTTTCTCATCCACAATACTACTGCTCCCATTAGAACGGCCTGGTTTCACGGACCCCAATACAATACGAGAACAAGATCTTTCTGAAGATATAACACTTAGGTAACTGCTAGTAGAATTGATTTGTTTGTTTAGTTACTCAAATTTCAATATTTGGGTTACAGGTTTAGACATTCATTTGACTTATCATGAGGTAGTGTCATTACATTAAACCCATCAGACAGTTTGTGAACTTACATGTGGTGACCAGTTTCACAAGGATAGATAGTCAGTGTTAATATAAGAGTGTGATATGCTCGCAGTAAGAAGATTGTAGACATCTACCTCATGATAGATCACTTCGGAGATGAAATCTGTAGCGTCAAGTATTTACAGGCTACCATTTTCAGTCCCAAGTACGGACATTACATCAGAACATAAGAGTATTTTTAACTTCACGAGTAGTCCTGAAACACCACAAAATGAGATTTTTGAGACACAATTGCGTGTAGTACTACTCTGTTGAATATTGGAATATCCTATTTATACAACTAAAAGGACAGTTTATTTATTTAATTTATTTTAAACACATAAATATTGGTACAAGGAAGCACCAGATACATTTGCGCCTCACAAATCTCATTTGATTTGTATGAGGGCTGTGATACTGCCCAGGTGCCCAGACTGAAGCAGGTGGTTTTCTTAGGGGGCCACACCCAGAGCCTTTGACCTGAATATCTGATCCACAAGGCAGTGGAGCATCGTGAGGAGATGTAGTCCCATGGTAGCCGGTGATCAACGGTTGATTCGTACGCCATTTGTTCCCTCAGGATACTGTAACCCATGTGCACCATTGGTTTAGAATCAGGGTTTTCCAACTCCCCTGGGTGGACTCGCCTTGTCCACCAACCCGGTTAAAGCACCGGACATTCGCTTTTCGTCCTCTTAATTTCGTAAACAACAGTAGTGCCACGAGAAGGCAGTGAGTAGGACTTCCCTGGCAGAGGTTATATACGCGTGGCCATGTGAGAGCATTTCGAGAGGGAGAGCGGATTCTCCCCACTCTCGGCCGTACCAGGGCGTTTAGGGGCAAAAGATCAGTTACACATACATGTAACATGACATTTCGGTGTCAGTCCTCTGATTTTTAGAACCTTGGGAACCTAAATTTCGTTGACAACGGAAACAGATGTTCTCAAAATTATCAAGATATTTAAGAAAAGACAGCAGTGTCAAAGTAACTTAATGGTTTTATATAGACTGAACACCAGATAGATGTTTTACTGAAATATATGTTTCTAAGTTACACCAAAATGAAAACCTTCGCCGTTTCCCAACGACCTTTTTAGAGAGTGATGCATATTTGATAATCACTCATTTTCCAAACGACTGATATTGTTCTATGAGGATTATGAATGGAGTTATTTCCAGTCTTAAATAGATGCTTTGGGAAAACAAACGGAACACATTCGTGATGAACAGACCACTACTAATGCATGCAATTTAAAAATCCTTTATGACTGAATAATAGAGTAGTTTTGTATCAGCAGACAAAGCCAACTAAATCTACATTATTTTCTCTTCTCGCTTAAAAAACCCATCATTTTACGAAAATATTGCGAAGGAATCGGCTTACTAGACACACCCGAGTCCATGAAACCTCAAAATTTAGTAAAACTAATACCGCTAATAGCGTAGATTTTCTTGACTATCAATCCTGTCCATGTCATACTGTTTAGAAAGCTCTGGTGAGCAGAGAGTGTTTCAAAATCCTGGAATGCAATGATTGTCATCCCTACCTTTAAAAAGGGTTTACTACATCATCCAGGTGATAACCATTGGGGAAAAAGTCTACTTTCGACCGCATTTCAAAGATTGGCATCCGTTATACTATGAGAATTACTCAAAACCCTTGAAAGATTGGGTTGTCTGGAGCAGGTTGGTTCTCAATCAGGTCGTGGATGTATTGATCATATATTTACCATCCAACAAACGATAGAACACCGCCATACTTAGTATAGGCTTAAAATTGCTTTTTTTCTTGAATTCAGGTCCGCCGTCGAGTTGTTAGATAGGACTGTTCTCTTGCAGGCATTGTCTGAAGAAAAGTGTTCGAGAAGCTTAACACCTTGAAAACTACGCACACAAATATACTAAACAGAGTGATGGCATACAACCACCTCTCTCAATTATTTCGTTTGGGCAGTGAAGGCAGGCAGGGTCTTACCATTCAACTTTGCCATCAGTGATATCCTAGAAACAACTTTGATGGTGTGGATCCGTTATCTGGAAGACTTCGATCTTATGTATACGGAATACATCATCTTACCACTATAAGAAATTTAAAATATACTAATCCCACACAATCGGTTAGGAATCAGTGTCTGCATCTCGCGTACTCTGAACCTCCTAAATGTAAATCACTTTCACACGGCTGACGGGAGCATGTGTTTGTGGTGACTTGTTATAAGTATATGAAACACCGGTGCATTTAGGTAGTTGTGTGAGCGCCGGTAGTGGATTATAGTGAAATGCAGAGCGGTTGGTTAGGATACTCCGCATTTTGTCAGCGTCTTCACCAGACAGCACTATATCATTTGCGTATTCTAGGCTAACAAGCGAATTCCATGGTAGATCAATCCTTGAAAAGTTAGATGACAGTATTATCTCCAAAAGCATGTCTATGGCAAAGTTAAATAAAAATGAAGAAAGCGAAGGACCTTGAAAAACATCATGTGAAGTCACCAACTCCGACGATAGTTCACCATAAGCCCAGACCCGACTAAAAGTGTTTGAGTAGAGAGCCTGTACAAGGTACATCTTTTAATGACAGGGATAGTCAAAGAACCTGTCGGTCAACAGAGCTGAATGATGTTTTAAGGTCAAGGAATACAACTAAAGTTGGATGTTGGAAAGAATGTTTAAGCTTGAGAGCCTAACGAAAGGAGAATATTCGGTCAATGCACGTACGCCTAAGTCCGAAACTAGCCTTATGTTGCTAGGTATGCTCTTACAGAGCCCTAGTTAGGTATCTGATTATTAAAGCTAATATTTTAGATATAATATTGGCCAAACATGATTTTTGTTCTTTCTTATGAACTAAAACCATTAGCAATCAAGACCAGTTAGATGGGATTTTGACAAGCTCCCGATTCTGGCTAAGATCTCAGTCAATTTAACTGATAAAAGTAGACCACTATTTTTGAAAATTTCTGAGGCTTATCTATCTAGACCTGTTACTTTTCCTCACTTTGAATTATTTATAACCTTTTCGACCTCGCCAAGAGTTGGAGGACTTATGTTAGTTTGCCATTCAAGTTGTTTGAAGATAGTGAGTAACTGAAGAGTAGCTGAAAACGAATGCACTGTTTGCCAAAGTGTTCTACTCATTGGTCTAATACATTTGTCTGAAAGTAAATAATAGTTCCATCTTTTCTCGATACACTAACTGTCAGGTTTTTCGTACCCATTTTCTCTGTAAGTTTGGAAAACTGTCTACTATTACCCATCGCCTCTGCTCCTTCCATCTCTTCTGCTTTCACTGCCCACCACTGCTTACGATCATTGAGGAGACGATTTGTCAGTCTCCAGTTAAGCTGCCTCTGTATCCGCTTTTTATTGTGTTTGGAGCCTGGAGGGATGAGTTTTCAAGGATCTATCGGTTCTATAAACGCCACAGAAATACCTTGATGCTACTTAAATTTGTGGACTAGGTTACTGGCAAATATCAATGCTATTTAGATATCATGCAAAACTACTTCAAGGTGAATATCCTCTTTCCGGCTAAATAACTGTTTTTCTGGTTGTACCTGAGTTATTAATAGTCAGTAAGCCGAGCTCTGAGGGATCTTTTTACTGTGACTAACTTGCATCCAGTAAGATGCAGAAAAACACGTAATTGCACTTAAGCGCTATCGAAGTCTCAACAAGTGCTTCAGAACGAATGATAGTCTCCTATCAATCCTCTTCAACGATGGCTAGTGGCGAAGTGGTCTATTTGCGTTCGTTTTCGGGTCATCATGCCAGACGATGTCTCTTCTTAAGAGTAAAGTTAAAAATGAACGATTATCCGAGCATGATTGCCGTCGTTATCTGCTTTCGGAGACGCAACATTGTAAGACACATCTAAGTGCTTTGCAGTTCGGTTTAGACTGGCTAGTTGGAGATTAAAATAACCATCCATTATTACTACATCTGAATGTTTAGTCTTTTGAAGGAGGGAGGTAAGCTATCTACAAAATCCATCTTTTACTTCGTTTGAATTGAAGCAGTGTCCTACCGTTTTGAGTTCTTAGTGTCTCGTTTAGTTGGACAGCGCACAAACAAATTTCTGTCGGAATCCAGTGCAAGGGAGGCCAATCCGCTATTGAATTTGATGTCATACCTACACTGGCGATGTTACGGGAGTTGGCAGTGGGATCATCAGACACACGAAGGTCAAACGGTACCTGTTCCTTGAGTTGGGAATGTGAAGTCAAATGAAAGACTGTAGTTGAATTCTTTGTGAGTTTCAGAGAAACAACATGCATCGATAGCGCAAGGTTCTAAGGTCATAACTAAGGAAGCTTTTTGTTATATCTTTATATACCTTTATATTGGAAGTTTTTGAAGTGTTAGTTATATACTTAAAAGACTTTGTTGTCGTAGACGGAAATCCATGGGTTAAGGTGAGGTGCACTAATTTTAGAGTGGACCTATTCTAACGCCTTCCATTGTATGAAAGCGACGTTTTAGATGCTATCTGGGAGAAACAACTTAATGCTGTCGCATCCCTGTATAGTAATCAATAAGATTCTGCTATAGGACAGTGAGTTGCTACTTCTGGAATACAAACTCTTCAACCGATCTGTCTGGTATGGTAGGACTGTGTGTTAGCCAATATAGCTGGATTAAGCCATCCCAATAGGTAAGCCCGACCACCACGTCAAGGTGATAGCTGCAGTCAAGACATTTGTGTAACCGAACCGTTTTGTCTTGATTATAATTCCTTTCGTTCTTTCATTACTTCATAACTAGGTTTCCTTATTATGTGGCCTATTTATTTTAGTGCCCATTTGTTTCAGGATGTACGTGCATGAAATAAATAAACAGACATGATAGTATCAAGGCGTAACTAAGCTTCATGACGAAAATTTTAGAGGTTAAGCGTTTACTGGTATTTTACTGTATAGATCGAGAACGCCGAAATGCACATAAAACATAATACGAAAGTTCACTTACCTATTAAATGTTCTCAAGCCAACATCATCCTTCAAACACTGGAATATATGGAATGCAACCTAAACAAATAAGCGGTAAAAATAGAAAAACTAACCCGCCAAACCCAGGTCGATGACATTGGATATGCATGAATCGAGTGAGCTAGCAATCTAGCAGCCTCTTTAAACTTGTGCCTCGACAAGAAGTACCACATAGCACAAATAACGCGAGCTTTCTCGGAATGTAGCAGTCTAAAATCCTCTAAAATGAGACGGTGGAAAGTGAACACACACATAAAGATAAATTTTTACTGAAAATAGGCGTCGAACAAAACGTTAGTCGAGGACATATCAGAATCTAAAAAGTGAACACAAGACTCATACTGGCATATCCATTAGGTGACCTGACAAAAGTAGTGACAGGACTAAATAAAAAAGGTGTGACGAAATAAACACATGTGGTTTTAATGATTGTGAAATAAAGCTACAAGTCGAGAATGATAACCCCACTATTGAGGAATCACTAATCGACAAACTGATATTTTAAGGCATGTAGTCAATCCATTCCTGACAGCTTTTAGAAAACTGTGTTCATGTGTAAATTTATATTGAACCAAAACTTCTAGGGACTTACCAGCTGTGTTCAAGGTGGAATAAGATTCTTTTCCCAGCCAATTGTCATAAAATCCATCCTTGTCGAGATTTAAAATAAACTGGCAGAATCGACGAAGTCTTAAGAAGTAAAGTTTATTTCTACCATAATAGTGGCGAAGATCAAGCATGGTTCCACTGGAACTACTGGATAACAGAAAAAAATAAAAATTATTAGGCTTTTGGACATTTTTTTCACGTGACGTTACAACACTCGACGCCTAGTGAAAACAAAACCAAGACAGTAAACGAAGAAGTCTAACAACAAAGGAAAAAAACTGAGTGACTTCGTAGTTCCTATCTACGCTAACAAAATTGTATAGTTTAGAAATCCTAAAGTAGGAAACAGCATGATTCAGAATTTAGACGACGGGAATATAATTTATGGACGAGCCAATGAGAAGCGTCGTAGGAATTTTAAGGTCACAGCGCCAATTTCAGTACTTGATGCTCATGTACAATCGGTTTACAGAGGATTATAGAGAAAACGTGACAATTAAGCGGCTACAATAAATGGGACTACTAAGTTTTTTTATTTGTAATTGTGGTAATCAGTTAACTTGTAGACCTTGCGCAGACTACCATGATGATGTTATCTTTCTATGTTAGAGGAAGAAGTCTGCTAGAATAGGAACTTTCTTCTCTCGATCCAGATTGAGACTAAAGCAAATTATAATAATTGCTGTAAAATGTATAATAGAGGCACCAGTAGTATTGGCTGCAATATTCGCAGGTGATACTGAAGCCTCGGCTGTTCAAACATATGAGTGTTGTAGGGATATATGCGTAATAAAACTGACAAACTTATATAACCGGAGTACATAAAAACAATATTGAAGCCATGTTGTCGAGGCTGAGAGAGTGTTGTGACTTCATCATGGCTTTAGTTACCAAGCATTATGGAGCCACATGGATGATTTCATCTACCTTATGCAATACGCTTTTAAAATCTTTGCACCTCTTTCTAACCTTGACAAGTTTTTGAACCATGTAAAAGAAGTGTACTTACTGTATTTCTTTGATGTTGTTTAATATATTTTTACTGCATATTGGCCGTCTTCTGATTGGCTAATATTTATCAAGGTCACCTAAGATTCGTTTCAAAGTCCTCCTAGGATCGTAGTTCGGCCCTTAGCTCTAGAGCATATCAACTAAATTGCTGGAGCTACTTCTTTGATCTTGTCTTATGGTCGGTTCTAACTCCAAGATTTCTAGTAATAATTTCTAATAATAAATATGCAGAAACTATGACTGAACGTGGAAGCAAACTAATGCTGGAACAGGTATGAAACCAAATACTTGAATATGGTCCCAACTTTTTTCGTTCATCACAAAATTCACCCGTCATAGTAGATGAGTTTTATTTTCCGAAATGTGCATTAGGTGTGTGCACTATAATGCTATGTCATTTTAAAGCTGGTAGCAAAAGCTCTAAAGCTTACGTTAACTTCTTTCATATTCTTATTTTATACATAAGCGGACTTTGATTAGTCTAATGACTGTCAAGAGTAGATACACAGCGACTACCACTTTGACGCAGTAAGTACAACCTCACAGTGATATGCTAGTAAACATCAGTATTTTAACCATGACCTTAAAAATAATACTGACAGATTGACATTGAAAGCTCGCATTACTTCAAGTGATCCCGCCCACATACTTGGCTTACACATACATTCGTGCTAAAATGAATTAAGGACCGATACGCCAAGTACCTCGCAAACAAAGACGTTAAGGTAACAAGTGTTTTATATGTCTTTAGCATTCTCGTGTCATATTTCAGCATACACTTTTAGAAATCAGTCACCTCGCAGATTACTTATCATTAAGTGCCAAAGTGAATGCGAAACCATAATCACGGCGCTCCACAACTTTTCGTATGCTATTCCTCTGGAGAACAAGAAAATTAACGAAAAACCTAAACCAACACCGTAACAAACGCACTCAAATTTTGCGCTTTAGGCAGTTCAAATGGTTCAAATGGTTGAGGACGGAATAGAAGAAGCTTTCGCTTAACGGGCTTCCGTGTCTGGTAGCAGTGGATCACCAATACCTCCAGGCAAAAACCTAGGTATATGAACGATAATAGAGGGAAAAAAAAGAATTTGGTAAATCATAATAATATGTTATCCTTAGTCCTTAAGAATAAGTCAAGTTTTCTCTTAAAGGACTACTGGGAGGTCGCTTGGACTAGCTCAGTCGGCAGCGAATTCCAGCACTTGACAACTCTAACGGAGTAGAAGTTGTGTCTGCAGTCTGTTCTGCTATGTAGGGTGTTACCTCTGAGATTAGTGTTATGACTAAGCTTAAGAAGTTGTTTAAGGGGATGACCAGAAGTATTAAGGATACTATAAGTCATAAGAAGATCACCTCTAAGACGCCTATACTCTAACGGGTAAAGGTTAAGTGATTTGAGGCGCTCTTCATAAGGTTTGAATTTGAGACCCCGAACTGATTTCGTGGCTCGACGTTGTATACGTTCCAGAGTGACCTTATCCTTTTGGAGGGAGGGAGGAAATACTATGTTTCCGTGCTCTAAGTGGGGACGAATAAAACTGTTGAAGATTATATGGAAGGTTCTACCGTCAAACTGGCCAAAAATGCGCTTCAATGTTACCAGTGCAAGGTTTGCTTGAGAGGCGTTTTTGTCACAGTTCGCATACGATTTCAGGTCGTAGGGTACCAACACTCCTAAATCTTTTTCAACTTGGGAAACTTCTAGAGGTGAGTTACCTAAGTTATAACTATAGTCTGCAACATGTCTCAGATGGACTACCTTGCACTTTGAAGTGTTGAAGGTAAGTCCGTTGTCGTCTGCCCAACTTTGAAGTCGAGTCAGATCCTCCTGCAGAACTAGTATATCATTGTGCGTACGTATCTCCCTCCAAAGTTTCACATCATCAGCAAAAAGCAATAAATCAGATGAAACTTGTTGAGGAAGATCGTTAATATAAATCAAGAAGAGAAGAGGTCCTAGTATTGAACCCTGGGGGACCCCACTAGGACATTCCATAGCCTGAGAGAGAGTGAAGTTAACCCTGACCTTAAAATGTCGGTTTTCTAGGTATGAAGTGATCCAGTCAATTAAAGGGGGTTTTATACCCAATCGTCCAAGCTTCTTGATAAGACATGCATGGTTGACCCTATCAAAAGCTTTTGAGAAGTCCAGGTAAATGACGTCAACCTTCCCCTTGCGATCAAGGATGGTTGTCCATCTATCCACCGCAGTCAGCAGGTTGGTCGTACAAGAATGACCTTTTCTGAAACCATGCTGTTGAGGCGAGAAGAACTTTAAGGATGATAAGTGATCAAGTATGCCGTCGAATACTAGGGATTCCATAATTTTTGAAGGTATGGAGAGAAGGGCCACTGGTCGGTAGCTTGAGGGTTCACTGCGTCGACCTCCTTTGAAAATTGGTGTGATGTGGGCCAGCTTCCATATTTCCGGTAGTTTTCCTCTGCTTAGCGAGTGTGCAAACATCACGCTAAGTGGTGTCGCCAGGATTGAAGCTGCTTCCCTCAGTACGGCGGAATGAACCATGTCCGGACCAGGAGAAGTGTCTTTTTTTAGGTTCTGCAGTTTACGGAGCACCAAGTCGGCACTCAGGTTCACTTCGGAAAGTCCTGTACAGGTGCAGGTGAAGCTTTCGTCAGTATGGTTAATGTGGGTCAGTTGGAATGTCCGGGAGTAATGTTCAGCCAAAAGGTTAGCGGCATCACTGTCGTTGTTGGTCGGGCCATTAGGACCAAGCAGTTGGGAAACTCCAGTTTTGCCTTGTCGAGGAGAAGCTGCATAACTGAACAAGCTTTTCGGATTGGAGACGAATCTATCGATAAGCTTGGTCTGGAACTGAAGCCTGTCTTCTCTTATTGCCTTTGTGCATGTGTTCCTTATATGTTTGTATTGCCTGTACGCGCCGTTGTTATCCGTTCGTTTATATTCAGCCCAACAGTGCCTTTTGCGGCTTAGCAAACGACGAGTGTGGTTCTTGATGATTGCAGGTTGCTTGTAGCTTTTTGGGACCATTTTGGGAACTGAATGCTCAGTAGCACATAAGATCGTGTGCAGTAAAAAATCCCAATGAGCATCCACTTCAATTTCAGGGCGAACATCCCAATCCACCTGTTGAAGATAGTCCTGTAAAGCTAACACATTCAACCGTTTGAAGTTCCAGCGCTTGTTGCTAGTAGGATATCGTAGCTCCGTCTTGCTGACAAAGCTAAATGATAAGACGGCGTGATCACTTTTGCCCAGGGGAGCCAGGATTGAGAGGTCGTCAACTAGGAATTCTTCGTTTGTGAATACCCAGTCTAAGCGTGACGGCGTCTGACTGTTTCTCCAACGGGTTGCCGACTTCACATTTTCAAATAATCCCAGGTCGCCGATAAGGTTGAAGAACAGAGCTTCAGTAGAGTTGGCACCACCAATGTATGTATGTTCCACGAAGTTGATTCTAGGGAGATTGAAGTCCCCTAGAATCAGGATATGAGAGAATCCAAGACGCGTAGAGCGAGTTAATCCTTCCAGCAGACGTTTGTCATATTCGATGTCGGCAGTGGGCCTCTTGTAAACGACCCCAACTAGGCACCTCGAGGTGGTAGATAATCTTACTGAGCACCATACTGACTCGTCAAGATTGTGAAACTCTTGATTGTGAAGTTGGTGCGCATCCAGGCATGACCGTACGTATAGTGCTACCCCACCCCCCATTCCTGTTTTTCTGTCGTTGCGAAATAAAGACATCCCAGTTATTGCTAACTCTTGGTCCGTAAACTGAGACGTTATCCAAGTTTCGGATATTTCTATCAGATGGGCATCATTAGCGTTGCTAAGTTCACGTAGCTCATCCATTTTGTTTGGCAAGCTCGCGGCGTTCGTGTATAGGCAGTTTATGCTTTCAATTTGGAACGCGTGAGCCTCTTCTTGTTTGTCTATATGAGCCGTGTGTGAGTGGACAGGTAGCCTACCTATACTATGTTTACCGAGTTGGTAGTCCCTGTCCTTTACACGTTTTTTTTATGATCAAGACAGTCCACGAGTGGAATTGTCAGCTCCAGCTTTCGTTTGTGCTTGATCCTGCTGTCGTGGGGCCTATCCGGATGCATATGGATGCCAGTTGGCAACCGACGTCTATTGGCACGAAATGCTTCCAGAGTTGCAGCCGCCATGTGGGAGGAGGGGAAGGTTATCTTCAGCAGCCGGGGCCTAGAGTCTCCGTCTCTCTTGGCCAGTCTCATTACCTGTTGGGTCAATATGTTCTTGAGTTTTAAGGAATGCTTGATGAATTTCCATTCCCGAATATCAGAGTTTGCTTGAGTTGGGTCCGTGTTTTCCGGCACACCTTGCACAATGATATTTCGTCCACGGAAGAACGCCTCGCGAGATTCCTTAGGGATGTTCCGGATGAGATTTCGTTCAGAATACGGTATGTCGGGCAGTATTCTTACGTTCCCATCGGACCTCAGTAAATGACTGGCTAGCAAGACGTCCTCTACGTCGGAGGCATTCTTAAGTGTAACACGAAGCAGCCTCGGGTGGTTTAGGTGGTTAGAGTCCTTCCCCCGAGTGAGCCGTGTGACGGTCAGAGGCTCTATTTTAGGGAGTTCAAGCCTCTTGATTAGTTCTCCCCAGAGCATCCTATCGTTTTTGTCCTGCAAACTCAGAGGAAGGTCGGGGTTGTCAATAAGGTTCATGATTATGACAGAGTCGTCACGAACCGCAATTGATTTCCCAGGTTTTCCAGGGCGTCTAGGTTTGGTATCTTGTTGTTTGGATGTCGAGGCGCGTTTTCGATTCCTGGGCTCAGCGATGACCGGGCGGACAGTCTTGGGTGTAGACTGTGCGGCCAAAGCATCAATTGATTTACGCACGATACTTGGGACGTTCAGTTTCAGAGGGGACGCTTGGGCTTTATTACTCCTGTTAACGTGAGTCCATCCACCTACAGGATTTTTAGGAACCACTGTCTCATTCAAGGACCGTTCCTCGGGGGACCTAAGTTTACTGAGGGAGTCGATGACAGTCGATGTTAGGATGGTGCTGAGTTTCAACACATCATCACTCGTGCTGTTAACAGCACCGTCGATAACCGACCTGTCAGTATCCTTTTTCTTATTTGCCCTATGCGTTCCAGCTTTGTTACCCGTCATGATGATGTCATTTACTGAATTCCTAGACAACTTATCTCTCAGCCCTGTCAGTAAAGTAATGATAGTACCCAACATAACTACCGTATCGGTGTTGCAGGTAACACATACCCACCTACGATCAGACTTGCTGAGTCTGCTATAGGCTGCTGCTGTTAGGTCTGTACATGCATCATGGAACCAACCTTTACAGTTGTCACATTGCATGCCAGATGTAACGGCAAAACGGCAACCAGGTCTCTTGCATGAATTTTTCATGGCTAGTGATTTAGACTGTCTTAAAAATATAAGCAGTAAACTTAGGACCGATAAAAAAACACACAGTAAACAAAAACTATTAAAAATGTATAAAAACAGTTAACGATAAGCTAAAGCTAGCCTTTACGTGAAAACTATAAAAAAACCGATAGTGAGCCGAGGCAAAACCATAGTTAACTATTAATTTGAGTGAAACACAAAAAAGAAGTAATCTACCGAACGTATAGCTCAGAATAGATTCTTTGGATTGGAAATGATACTTTTGTTGCGTAAGAACACAGCAAAAGTTTGAGAAATGTAAATCACGTTAGGACTAAACTTCCCGTTCGAATAGCGCGCGTTGAGGACAGAATAGAAGAAGCTTTCGCTTAACGGGCTTCCGTGTCTGATATCAGTGGATCACCAATACCTCCAAAGGTTATTCATTCTCTAATGCGCTGATTTAAACAAAGCCATGGTACGAACAACAAACGGGAGAACACATAAAATATGACTTCCGGGACACAGTAAACCAGGTCGAAGTAGTTTAGAGACTAGGTCGACTAAT